AAAAACAAACTTTACTTAAATATTTTTGTCAGTTTGAGTTTGATGTAAGTTGAGACGATCAAAAAAGTTAAGTTGATTTTACTTAAAAAATGACAGTGTGGAGTTTTAAATACTGTATTGAGCTGTATTTATTCATTCATTCATTTTCCTTCAGCTTAGTGCCTTTATTTATCTGGGGTTACCACAGTGGAATGAACCGCCAACTTATCCAGCATATGTTTTACACAGCAGATGCCCTTCCAGCTGCAACCCAGTACAGGGAAACGTCCATTCACACTCATTCGCATGCACATACATTATGGCCAATTTAGTTTATTAAATTTTACTATACTGAATGTCTTTGGACTGTGGGGAAAACCTGAGCACCTGGAGGAAACAGCAACTTTCTTGCTGTGACAGTGCTAACCACTTAGTCACAGTGCCACCTTGAACTGCACTTAAATGAATTTATTTTATGTTTGATGTTTTATTTGTGCTATTTAGTATTTGATTTTATGATAAACAATTCCCAGTGATGGGTTGCAGCTGGAACCGCTGCGTAAAACGTGCTGGAAAAGTTAGCGATTCATTCCGCTGTGGCGACCCCAGATTAATAAAGGGACTAAGCCGAAAAGAAAATGAATGAATAAATTTTATGTTAAACTGTTCATTTTAAAGGATTTTTTACTGGCTAGATATTCACAGATAACCTGTTTTATTTATCACAGCAGACAAAACAAAACCAATTTACGCTAATTATTACAGTAACAAAATGTAGAACAAATTGCATCCTTTCTACTGTAACTTACTGTATTTCTTTCAGTATGAAAATTATAGGTAGTCAGTAGCGCTATTAAAAAGCTAGTTGCATAATCTTACTTTTAATGTGCAACATTGTGGATAGCCGTTGGCAAAAGAGAGTACAAGTTTTTGCAGTTTCAGTGTTGGGTTGCACTCAAAAAGTACAGAAACTCAATGCTGTCAATCAAAGTGCAGTTTGACAGCTTTTATACTGACACAAGTGTTTTTTGAGTGAGCTAATATGTTACATAAACGGCCATAAAAGGTGATCATTATGATAGTCATTCTGGTTAACTGCATTATATTATATCCGATATCCACACGCACAATGCATTCATATGATTTTGTGAGTAGCAAGCCTGAATATTTAGAATTATTTAATGGGTTTTCTTTCATTTTCTTTTTGGCTTAGTCTCTTTATTAATCTGGGATCGCCACAGCTGAATGAACCACTAACTTATTCAGCATATGTTTTACGCAACCCATCACTGGGAAACATCCATACACTCTCATTCACACATACACACTACGGACAATTTTAACCTACCCAATTCACCAGTACCGCATATCTTTGGACATTTGAGGAAAACCGGAGCACCCGGAGGAAACCCACATGACCACAGGAAGAACATGCAAACTCCACACAGAAATGCCAACTCACTCAGCCGAGACTCAAACCAGCAACCTTCTTGCCACCGTTTGAATTGGATTTTTGATATATATAAATTTTGGATCCCACTTTTGCAATTATGTTTGAAGGGAATTTTCATTCATTCATTAATTTTCTTGTCAGCTTAGTCCCTTTATAAATACGAGGTCACCACACCAACTTATCCAGCAAGTTTTTACGCAGCGGATGCCCTTCCAGCCGCAACCCATCTCTGGGAAACATCCACACACACACACACACACACACACACTACAGACAATTTAGCCTACCCAATTCACCTGTACCACATGTCTTTGGACTGTGGGAGAAACCCGAGCACCCAGAGGAAACCTACGCGAACACAGGAAGAACATGCAAACTCCACACAGAAACGCCAACTGAGCCGAGGATCGAACCAGCGACCCAGCAACCTTCTTGCTGTGAGGCGAATGTGCTACCCTCAGCGCCACTGTGTCGCCTGAAGGGGATTTAAATATTGTAATTAACTTTATTTAGTTTAAAAAAAAAATATTATTTATTTATTGTTTTATTTTTGAATCATATTTATAATAAAAATTTTAAACAAAAAGTACATTATTTAAAACCCTGGTGTGGCCATGGTGGCTTAGTGGTTTGCACCTTGGCCTAACAGACTCTAAATCATCTAAATCAGTCTGGCTAAAGCAGACTCTAAATCATCAGTCCTCATTTTGCTGGACTTGTCAGCTGCTTTTGACACTGTCAACCACCAGATCCTGCTATCTACGCTTGAGTCACTGGGCGTTGCGGGCACTGTTATACAATGGTTCAGATCTTACCTCTCTGACAGGTCATTCAGGGTGTCTTGGAGGGGAGAGGTGTCCAACCTACAGCATCTAAACACTGGGGTACCTCAAGGCTCTGTTCTTGGGCCACTTCTCTTCTCCATCTACACATCCTCTCTAGGACCAGTCATCCAGAGACATGGATTCTCCTACCACTGCTATGCTGATGATACCCAGCTATACCTCTCTTTTCATCCTGATGATCCCTCGGTTCCAGCTCGTATCTCAGCCTGCCTGTTGGATATTTCACACTGGATGAAAGATCATCATCTTCAGCTGAACCTCGCAAAAACGGAAATGCTTGTAGTTTCTGCCAACCCGACTCTACACCATAACTTTTCAATCCAGATGGATGGGGCAACCATTACTGCATCCAAAATGGTGAAAAGCCTTGGAGTAACGATTGATGACCAACTAAACTTCTCTGACCACATTTCTAGAACTGCTCGATCGTGCAGATTTGCACTCTATAACATCAGAAAGATCCGACCCTTCTTATCTGAACATGCAGCTCAACTCCTTGTTCAAGCTCTTGTTCTCTCCAAACTGGATTACTGCAACTCTCTACTAGCTGGGCTTCCAGCTAACTCTATCAAGCCTCTTCAACTGCTCCAGAATGCAGCAGCACGAGTTGTCTTCAATGAACCTAAACGAGCACATGTCACTCCGCTGCTAGTCCGTTTGCACTGGCTGCCAGTTGCTGCTCGCATCAAATTCAAAACTCTGATGTTTGCCTACAAAGTGACTTCTGGCCTAGCACCTTCTTATCTGCACTCACTTCTGCAGATCTATGTGCCCTCCAGAAACTTGCGTTCTGTGAATGAACGTCGCCTCGTGGTTCCATCCCAAAGAGGAAAAAAATCACTTTCGCGAACGCTCACGCTCAATCTGCCCAGTTGGTGGAATGAACTCCCTAACTGCATCAGAACAGCAGAGTCACTCGCTATTTTCAAGAAACGACTAAAAACTCAACTATTTAGTCTCCACTTCACTTCCTAATCTGCAATTGCCTATTTGAATATCACACTAACTGTACAAAAAAAAAAAAAAAAAAAAAAAAAAAAAAAAAAAAAAAAAAAAATTACTAACACTTCCCTTCTTAGACTTTACAGACCTGAAACTTGCCTTTAGTACTTATTCATTGTTGCTCTTAGTTGTGTAAATTGCTTCCTTGTCCTCATTTGTAAGTCGCTTTGGATAAAAGCGTCTGCTAAATGACTAAATGTAAATGTAAATGTAACAGCAAGAAAGTCAATGGTTCGATTCTTCGCAGAGTCAGTTGGCTTTTCTGTGTGGAGTTTACAGGTTTTCCCCATTTTTATGCGGGTTTCCTCAGGATGCTCCAGGTTTACCCCACAGTCCAAAGACATGCGCTGTAAGTGAATTGGATGAACTTGCTGCAGTGTATGTGTGTGTGTGTAAATGTGTGGGTGTTTCCTAGTACTGGGTTGTGGCTGGAAGGGCATCCACTGCATAAAAAAACATATGCTGTAATAGTTATCGGTTCATTCTGCTGTGGCGACCAGCAACAATGCATTACTTTAAAAATATAACTGTTTCCTATACAATATGATGCGTTTGTCCATTACTTGGTAAATAAATAAATTTTGGCTGCAGTATAGCCTACATCTTCCTGTTTACATTGGCGACACATTATGGGATTGGTTGATGCCAACCAATCACTGCAAAGAAGATGCATGATGCATACATTTATGGTTGTCTTCTGAGTGATAATTTAAATTACTTTCATGTATTTATTTCGTAAAGGTTTGTTGTATTTTGTTGCTAGTTTTCATACTCGTGCTGTGAAAGAACATGTTTAAGGGTTAAATACAACTTTTATGAAGTCACTTAAATTTTTTCTTCTGAATATATTATTCGGCTGAATTAACACCTTTTGATATATATTTTTTATTTTTGCGCTGTAGGTCTGACTTAAATAAATAGTGTTTAAAATTGACTTTGTTTATGTCTGTCTTGTGTTTTATTTGTGAGAATGCAAATTAATTAAAACTGAAGCTGATCAACTGTATTCTCCACACTGCACTGAAGTGAAGGGCATTAAAGGGAGCATTAAACATTTTCTTTGGAAAAGTAACTCAAAAAGGATGTTTAACAGTACTGCATTCCTTTTTGGTAAGTAATCAATAAAGTAATTGAGTTACGTTTTGAATTGAATAGCCACTATTTTTCAGTACCTAGCACAACACTTGTGGAGACCTCTGATCAATCAGAGATTAAGCCAAAGGAAAATGAATGAATTAATTAATTAATGATTTTTTTGCATTGTACATTTCTTTAATATACTTTTTATTTTATTATTGTATATTACATAGCAATTTTGTTTTATAAGTAATTGAAATCACTCAAAACTAACTGCAGACATCTGATTAACGACAAAAGAAATGTAATACAGTCAATAGAGGAGCTGCTTAAGCAACCTGCAATTTGTCCAAAAGCCACATTAATTCAATCTGTTCCCTTCAGCAAAATCTGCTTCAACGACTACATTCACATTCACCGCATGTTTCTCATAAATCTGCACTGATACTAATAAGACAAGTCGAAACTTTCCCTTGAGTTGAATGATCACCAAGGTTTTGGCAGCGTGCTTTTTTTTCCGGTTAACGAAGGTGAAAGGGCTCGTTAAATGGGAGGATTTACAGTAAACCCGATTGATAAAAGCATAAAGAAAGCGAAAGTTTCCTGAGTGGCGTATAAAAGGAGCGCATGTGCCCCTGAGATTCATTTCTGTGGAGGACAGGAGAAGAGACCCGCGGAGAGACAAAATGATGCTTTCCAACTCAATAGTGGCCGCTGCTCTGCTCATACTGAGTGTTAGTCTGTGGAGCTGCACAACAGGTGAGATTTAGCAATATCCTTCTTACAAGAGGTTAAAACAAATCCGGTTTTAAAGAAACTTTTTTTTTACTGTATTCCAAGTTGTCTTTTACGTTTAAATATGCGCTATTTGCAGACCTCTACATTTCGTGCGCAATAGTCAAAACATTGGTTGATATCGGGTTTAAAATAGCCACTTCCCAACAAACTATTTTGTGTTTGGCTAAAACAAGGCTAAACTTTGGCTGTCAGTAAAAATCTAATAGACATTTAAGAGTAGCCCAAAGTAGTCGTCAAATAGACAGATTAGACAGACTGTATATGTGTAGTCATCCATTTCTGACTAGTCTTGCCTATTTCTAGAAGTCTATTAGATTTTCACTGACCTTGTTTTAGCCCAAACAACTATGTTTAGACGTCTTTTATACATCTTAGAGATCTTTGAAAACAAAACATGCTTGCTGGGATGTTTCATTATTTGGCATTTTGGAGGCAAATATTTTTTTACATAGAGAAGTATATATATATATATATATATATATATATATATATATATATATATATATATATATATATATATATATATATATATATATATATATATATATCAGGCATATTATGAAAACAATGCAATGTTTTTCTTATGAATTGCAAAATTGCTTCATACAAATGATGAACAAATCCCTCTGTAAATACATCCACAATAAAGTTATAAATAAAGCAGCTCAATTGTCATTCATAAACTACTGGTCAAAAATTTGTGGTGAGTAGGATTTTAAAATATGCTTAATTTTGCTAACCAACGCTGAATTTATTTAATCAAAAATGCAGTACAAATTGTAAAATTGTGAAACGTTATTGCACTATAAAATAACCATTTAAAAATAGTTTATAATTTAATTTAATATTTTTTCCAGTGCTTTTAAAGATGAATTTTAAGCTTCATTCTTCTGTCACATGATCATGAAATAATAATAATAATAAACTAATAATAATAATTATTATTATTATAATTATTAATGGTAATAGTAATAAAAACAATAATGACTGGAGTAATAATTTCATTTGAAACTACATACTATAAAAAAGCTGTTATCTATTTTTTTTAAATAAATATTTAACAATTTAACTGGTGGCTCATTCTGCTGTGGTGACCCCAGATTAATAAAGGGACTAAGCCGAAAAGAAAATGAATAAATTAATAAACATATTAACAGTTTTCTTACATTTATTAAATGCTGCCTCAGACAGAATAATTTTCTTTAAATAAAAAACATGAAATCCCAAACTTTTGAGCAATAGTGTAATTATTACAATTATATATTGATACTTTTATAAAATTATATTAATATAGCTGAATCATACATTTTAAAGAGCTGCTGAAATGGAGATTTATTTCTCACTGCAGGAGAAAACACTCATTTTCAGAAAACAGCTTTAACTTTTTAAATGTAATTGAAATCTACACACAACCTCAAAAGTCTGACCAAAAAGTGTGTTTTTTCCTGCAGTGTTACCTTAAATGGACAGTTCAACAACAAAAAAAAAAGTCAAATTGTTGCTAGTTCATTTAGTCGTGTGCTATTAAGGGCGACATTACATTAGCACAACTTTAAAAAGAATTTCTAGCTTTAACTGTGATTTGTGATGATAAAATCAATACAAAGTCAACATCTACCAGCACTTTTACAATAAAATACAAACAAAAAACAGACAAAAAACATGAATACCCACAGCTCTGGAGGCTTTCAGCTTTCATCAGGCTTTTAATAAACTAACACCACAGTTTCAGCTAAAACTTCTCTTTAATGTTCTTCTGATGTAAAAAGTGATTTGCATCTTGTATGGCCTGAGGATGAGTAAATGATCAACTCAGTCTCTTTTATTTTTTACAGTGCACAAGACTGTAAACGTTGCTAATGTTTAACACTCTGTTTATCTCCTGCAGCTCTCGGCGATGATGCAGTGGATTGTTGTTTAACCACCAGCGACCGGCGAATCCCTCAGAAAGTGGTGACGACTTTCACTCTTCAGACCGGAGAAGGAGGCTGCAGAGTTCCTGCCACAATGTAAGTCGCATTACACACATTTCTAAATGTGCGTCAAACTTCGAGGTGTGTTGGATTTTGCATATTTAAATATTTAAATATGGATATCCACAGATTTGTCACAAAGAAGGGCTTGAAGCTCTGCGCACCATTTCCGAGCCAGAATAACTGGGTGAGCAGACTGATTGACCACATACTAGGAAGAGAAAAACCAGCACAAAAACGACCCAGGAAATCTAAAGGTAGGTGTTTGTGTTTCATTATCGTTTTGTGCATAAATAACAAAAAAGCCCTGATCATAAATAAATAAAGAAAAAAGATACCAATTGACAATTCCTATCGTCTCTCCTAGCGTTTAAATAAAATGACATTTTTGTTTCATTCTGTAAACTACAGACAACACTTAGAAATGTAAGCATTTTGTGTCATAGAATAAGAAAAAATGTGTTTTTACATTTATTTTTGCAACACAACTCCAATGTTTTTACTTCAGAGAAGCTTTTCTTTGTATACAACATTTAAAATGATCATATTTCAATCTAATCTATTTTAATAACACATTAAACATTACACAACATTCTTTTGCTCTCTTTTATTACAGGAAAGAAACAGAGACAGCAGTGATTGTCACCATCAGATTATCCAGGTCCAGCCTGCTTTCACACATGCAGAACTAATAGCACTCAATCATAATAGTAAACGCTTATTCTCAGGTTTACGTTTGTATAGCAGAACAGGTCAAAGTGTGAATTTACTGCCATAGGAATAAGCTTTTCCAATATGAACGGTTTTTAAAATGTGAATCTTTCCCTCCGATCTACATGAAGAGCTTTCAAGCTAACATTTCCTTGATATGTCAAGTATCTATTTTTGTATTGTTTTCTGAGCCATTAATTGAAAATATGTTTTCTGTCAAACTCCACACATTTTCACTTTGTATTTTTGAATATAAATAAAAGATTTTACGTATTAAATATAAATAAATATATATTGTGTCTTTTCTTTGCTACATTTACATAAAATCGTTGTGACCTTTTACAGTTTTTCTCAGTGGCTTTGGTCCATTTCTCTGATCAGAAATGAAATTTTCAAAAGTTCCTGTTCAATCTTCAGGTCATTGTGTCACTTGTGCATACAAAAAATTATATGTCATTCATTTGAGCAAGTTGCAAATGCTTTTGTACATCCATGATTATGTGCGATTCTCTGATGTTTCCTACGTTATCAATTGCTTATGTCATGTTGATCAAAATGTATTATTTTGTTTTCTGTTGAATAGTCTCACCCCCACAACATTTAAACCTTTGTTCATGGCATAAGTCTTTACATGCAAAATGCCTAAACAAGTTGTGATAATATTTTGTCATAATGCATTTTTCTGTAGACATTTTTTTTATAAATCTGGTGGATCCCATGGTAAATCTTGCCTTTAAAAAAAAAAAAAAAAAAAAAAATATATATATATATATATATATATATATATATATATATATATTTTAACTCTAAAAAAAACTAATATAATTTTGCTTTGGCTCAATTCTCGATTGAAATTTTTATTGTTCAAAACAGTAAGTTTAAATCTCTGAACAATTAGCGTATTGTTCACATCAGATTTCTTATTGATTTAAACAAATTGCAAATGCTGTGGCGCATGTGTGCAAAAAGTAAGTAAATTGTCTGTCATTTGGAAAGAATTATTAAGAAAATGATTCCGTATGGCTTGTTGATCAAATCTGATGAGTTGATTCTCATTTAAATTGCCAAATTCTTTACTACTTCTCAATTTTTTTTTCACCGTGTAAGTCATCACACTCAAAACTATTTATTCAATTATCAAGCATTTGTATACGCATACGTAAATCAGAATGATTAAAACCCCTTTGATTTTTTTTCTTGTTTTAAATATTTTCCAAAAGATGTTTAACAGAGCAAGGAAATTTCCACAGTATGTCTGGTAATGTTTTTTCTTTTGGAGAAAGTCTTATTTGTTTTATTTTGGCTAGAATAAAAGCAGTTTTTATTTTTTAATTAAACATTTTAAGGTCAAAATTTTTAGCCCCTTTAGGCTGTATTTTCCCTATAGTCTACAGAACAAACTATTATTATACAATAACTTGCCTAATGACTCTAGTTAAGCCTTTAAATGTCACTTTAAGCTGTATAGAAGTGTCTAGAAAAATATCTAGTCAAATATTATTTATTAGTTATCATGGCAAAGATAAAATAAATCAACTATTAGAAATGAGTTATTAAAAGTGTTGTGTTTAGAATAGTGTTAAACAAATCTCTCTTGTTTGAACAGGTTAAACAGATATTGGGGGGAAAAAACAGAGGGGCTAATAATTCAAGGAGTTTTAATAATTCTGACTTCAATTGTATCTGATATTGACATTGTTTGTAATGTCTGAAAAATTGATAAATGAACTCTTATTGCTATCTGCATCATGACAAGGCCAACAAGAGCGACAGGATGTTCATCAAGAATATTTTTTTTTCATGGATACTGTTTTGCTGTCTTTTTCCTTTCTGTATCACAATAACATGATCTGTCAACAAATGACAGTAGCTTACAAACAGCAAAAAACTATTTCTTTTGACATTGTTTACATCAGAACGCCCCTCCAGAGTACACTGTTGTCAACATGACTAAGTAATTTGAGTGTCTTATCCATACACACTGACACAAGGACTTGTCATTCTGATGGCACTGCATGTTCACTGACATAAATTTAATGTTGAGAGATGAACTAAGGATTTTTAGCAAGGCCTTTGTAGGAAATCCATGGTGTTTTGTTAATTGTATGCATTGTTTTGAGAAATGCACCTACTGTTATGCAAATTTCAATTTGGATCTGAGAAATGTACCAAAGCGACTGGGAAAAACTGTAAAAGATATTTATATTTTTACAATTACAATTATTCATTTAACAGACGGTTTTCTCCAAAGCGACTTATAAATGACTCCAAATCACAAGAGAGCAACAATAGATAGATGCCATGACAAGGCTAAGTTCATTCAGCAGTTCTAATTTAGCAAATCTGCATGAGAGTCGTGGTCTGCAAATTTCTACTGGTCATCAAAAACAACTCATTGGTTTTCTAACTTTCAAGCAGCTATTGTTGATGTGCTGTATGTTGAAGTTGTGTTTTTAAGGTACCAGCGGTTCAGTTTTAGAGAAGGTGGTTGTCCTTCATTTAGTGGTCAGGCATGCTAATCAGGGGTGGATTTAGTGATTTTGCACCCTAAGTAAATCTAGCCATGGGGCCAAAGTCCTGAAATGCACCATTTCTACTTTTATTTACAGTTTTAATGTTTTTTTTTATATCACTCAATCTTTTTTTTCGACATTTTTAAATTAATACAATCTCTACATTTTAAGTGATTCGTTTTCTTAAAATCAATTTACAACTAAAAATGATAAATATATATATTTTTTATAAATTTGACTGCTGGACTGCTCCATGATGAATTTTTTATTTTGTAATATTATTATATTACATAACATTACATAATTATAATAATATTATATTTGATTGTATTGTAAATAATATTTAATTATGTTGAAATTGTATTTATTTAACTCTCACCGTAAAAAATGTGGTAGAAAACAATGTTATATATACTTGGTATAATATTTACTTCTAGATATTTACTGGGGACCCCCAGATTTCCGGGGCCCTAAGCAGCCACTTACCTCACTGATTGTTTGGAATGAGAGTTATGGGTGTCACCAGCCTAACAATGGTTGGAAAAGCAATGTTTTTGATTAACAGACACAAGTGGTGCCATGTACATAAGGAATAGAAACAGAGCCCTGAGGCACCCCAGTAGCAAGATGGTGCAGTTTAAATATTCCGGCCCTCTAAGGCCGTACTCACACTAGGTACAGTTGCCTCGAACCGTGCCAAAGCACGCTTGTCCCCCCTCCCGTCTCCCCCGACGGCCCGCGCTCACACCACAAAGGGGCTTCGGCACGCTTACGTCATCGCTGCTGTGCTGTTCAGTGAGAAGCACTCTCTCACTCAGCAGCACAGTGGAGATTTCTCTATATCGTTTCAGTCGTTTGATATGCCGTCAAATATTTCTCCAAACAGTCCTTAGGGATGCGGGGACACGCAGTGAGATATTTTGCCGAACAGATCCGCCACTTTTGCCGCTCATAAACAATCATAAAGCTCTCGTGCTGCAGGAATGAGGAGGTTTGCTGAAGGCGCGCAGCTGTCGTGCAGTGAGGGGTTTGCGTCTTTAATAAACTATGGCAGTTTGCGATCACTGAACAGTAAGAATGATTAATAAATCCATTTGAAACAGTGCCTTAAAAGTCACGTCTCGCGTTCAGTTTCGGGCTTTGGCGCGTTTTGCACTCACACACAAGCGTACAAAGCCCAAGTGATATCTGCAAATATATTATGACTAGTCATATTCCTCCATTGACTTCCATTGAAAAATATTTGCAGATATCTCTAAATGAGTTTTGACTAGTCACAATTGTAATTAGAGATATCTCTGAGTTTTTACTAGTCATAATACATTTGGAGATGTCTTTAATTCATCATATTTAGAGATATTTACAAATATATTTGAAGATCTCTAATTAAATTACTTATAGTCGAATTACAGTTGTAGATATCTTGAATTGGATTTTTGACGAGTCAAAACTCATTTAGAGATATCTGCAAATATTTTTCAATGGAAGTCAATGGAGGAATATGACTAGTCATAATATATTTGCAGATATCTCCAATCTGATTTCGTACTAGTACAATTGTAATTGCAGATATCTCTAATTGTCATTCTGACTAGTCGAATTATAATTATGACTAGTCAAAATATAATTAGAGATCTCTAAATATATTTATGGATAGTCAGAACAAAGATTTAAATGCTAAAACGGCTTGCCATACGCTCTCGCTCAGTAGCACAGTGGAGATTTCTCTCGTTATATCGTTTCAGTCGTTTGATATGCCATCAAATATTTCGCCAAACAGTCCTTAGGGATGCGGTGACACGCAGTAAAATATTTCGCCGAACAGATCCGCCACTTTTGGCGCTCATAAACAATCATAAAGCCCTCGTGCTGCAGGAATGAGGAGGTCTGCTGAAGGCGCGTAGCTGGCGTGCTGTGAGCAGATTGTGTCTTTAATAAACTACGGCAGTTTGCGTTCACTGAACAGTAAGAATGATTAATAAATCCATATCAAACAGTCCCTTAAAAGTCACGTCTCGCTTTCGGTTTCGGGCTTTGGCGCGTTTTGCACTCTCACACAAGCGTACCGCGCCAAAGCCCAAGTGTACCACGCTCAGGCACACCTCTTCCAACCGGGCCAGGGCCGGCCAAGTGAACCGTGCTTGAGCGCGATTCAGCGCACTCACACTTCTCAAACGATCCGGGAAACGGGCCTGGGCACGGTACGGATGGCATAGTGTGAGTAGGCCCACACTTCCCAAACGATCCGGGAAACGGGCCTGGGCACGGTACGGATGGCATAGTGTGAGTAGACCCTAAGACACCTTGAATTACCTGCCTAAGAGCTGAGGCATTGGAGTGTGATCCCTGAGATGCCCATTGTCTTGAGGGCTGCCAAGAGAATTTGGTGTTGATTGTGTCCAAAGCAGCAGACAAATCCAGCAAGATGAGCATTGATTGAAAATTTGGAAGCAGCTTTTCTGTGTCTCAGGGCTCCTACAACTGAGAGCAGGGCAGTGGATTCATAAACTCAAAGTAACAAACTTTTTTGAAAGTATTTTTAGGAAGCTGTGTGCACTGTAAAAAGTGATTAGTTGACTTTAAAAACATTGAGTAAATACAATTGATATATACACAATAAGTCTTCTTTGGGAGTGTATGAGTGCGTGTGTGAATGTAAGAGTGTATGGGTGTTGTTGCGGCTGTTCGTTTTGCTGGGGTGACCCCTAATAAACAAGGGACTAAGCCGAAGGAAAATAAGTTAATTAATTTTAAAAAGTTAAATAAACATA